ACACTAATGATAAAGGACTGATCACAAAAATCTGCAAAGAGCTGATGAGACTCAGCAACAACAAAGAAAATAATCCAGTCAAAAAATGGGCAGAAGAGCTAAAAAGAAACTTCTCTGAAGAGGAAATGAAAATGGCCAACAGACATATGAAAAAATGTTCAACATCACTTGTAATCAGGGAAATGCAAATCAAAACTACCATGAGATACCATCTCACACCAGTGAGAATGGCACATATTAAAAAAACTAGCAACAACAAATGTTGGCGAGGATGTGGAGAAAAAGGAACTCTTGTGCACTGTTGGTGGGAGTGCAAACTGGTCCAACCACTATGGAGAGCTGTGTGGAGATTTCTGGACCTACTAAACATAGAGCTTCCATATGATCCAGCAATTCCACTCCTAGGTATTTACCCAAAGGACACAGAAACATCAATTCCAAAGAGCACCTGCACCCCTATGTTTATAGCAGCACTGTTTACAATAGCTAAGCTTTGGAAACAACCCAAATGCCCAAAAATAGATGACTGGATCAAGAAGATGTGGTACATATATACCATGGAATATTACTCAGCATTCAAAAAAGATAAACACATGCAATTTGCTGCAACATGGATGGCGCTGGAAGGGATCATGCTCAGCGAAATAAGCCAAAAAGAAAAAGAAAAATACCGGATGGTCTCACTCATAGCAGGAATCTAGAAAACTTAAATAAGGGACCAGGAAAATGAATAACTATAAGAAAGTGAAAATCAAAATCAACAAAAAAACTATGAACCAGAGACACTTTTTGGGGGGTGGGGGGCGGGAGGGGAAGGATTGGGGTCAGAATGGGGCATTTGCAATTGTATGGGGGAATATAAAAATAAAATTTAATATTTAAAAAAAAAAAAAAAAAAAAGAACACAGAATTTGATATAAGACAGTTTGAGGTTTAGAGTTCCAGATCTTTTCCTCACTAACTATGACTTTGGACACATTATTTACCTAGACCTCATGTTTCACATTTGCCAAAAACAAAATGTTGATCAGAATAGTACTGACTTCATAGGGCCATTAAAAGTATCAAATAATATAAAAGTAAACTCCTTAACACACATCTGGCACGTAGTAAATGTCCTACATATGTTATTTACGTAATAATAATAGTTCTTGTTATTGTTTCGATTTCACATGTAGGAAAGCCAGGTTCTGAAATTGACAGACTGACTTTAAAGAAACCCAGAAATTAGTATCTGTCATTTTCTTTTTTTTTTTTAAGATTTATTTATTTATCTATGCATACAAGAGCTTGGGTGTAGGCCAGAGGTGCGGCGGGTGAGAGGATTCACCAGAGACAGAGGAGGGAACAGAACAGGCAGATCTACTGAAATACACTGCTGAGGGGAGTGGTGGGCGAGGCTGCTCCATGTGGGTAGCTCCCTGCCGGTTGGGGAATTAGATTTGTGCTACAGTGGCTGGTGATAGCTTGATAGTGCTGTCTTTAACTCCTGAACCACCAGGGAGACCCCCAGAATCTGTCCTTTCTAAAGTCTGAGAGAAAACAGCTGATGAATGAGCATACTTCCCATTGTTTAGTTTTGCTCGCAGATATGTCCCAAGTCCTTATAAATTGCCTAGCACATAGATTCATCCATTAACTGCTGGATGAATCTCATTAGGATCATGAAACCTTGTGATTATAAGTGATGTGTATTCTTCTAACTAATCCCTAGGTTTGGATAGTCAAGTCTGTGGGTGAAGATGACACGCTGGGAATTGATGCCTCACAAAGGGAATTGGAGCTCAATGCTAAATATAAATTACCTAGGGAAGCTTGGAAGATGGTCTTCATTAATCCTTGTGACTTTTTTGGTAGATGCTCTCTCTTTGGCTCAGGCCTGGTCTGTGTGATCAATAAAGCACACTAAAAGTGACAGTGTGTGATTTACAAGTCTCAGTCAAAAATGTACATTGCAGCTGATGTCTTAGTCTCTTGGACCACTTGCTCTGGGGAAACCAGTTGTCATGCTATGAAGATATGCATGCAGCTCTGTAGAGAAGCCCCTGGGAAGCGGAACTGAGGTGGTCTTGCCAGCTGTGTAAGTGAATTGCTTTGCTATTAAATCCTAAACCCAACTAAGCTATCAGATGACTAATGCCAGGTCATCTGATTGACATGTGATGCAATCTACAAATACTATTTACATAATATACGAGCAGAACTGTTCAGCCTAGCCACACTTGAATTCCTCACACACAGAAAGTGTGAGGTCTGTTCAGGAAAATAACTATTGGTGTTTTAAGCCAAGAAATTTTGGGATAATTTGTTATGCAGCCCGAGGTAACTAATGCAAAAGGACTTTCATTCTGACTGGCACTTCAGACAGTGTGTTTCAGGTTGATTACCACTGAAGTACAATGAACACTGACAAAGTTTTTTTATGTGCACTAGTGGCAAGAGCTGTGAAATACTTGTCAAATTTATCACTGCCTCAAAAAGGGGGCCCCAAGACGCATGAGGCTTGTAAGGAGCAGTTCTCTCATGCTGATCTCAGCTTGTGAAGCCAGTTCTTTGGAAAATAGAGAGCATGTGAAGGACCCCAAGGAGATAAGAGACCATCATTGAATAAAATGAGTGACATGGCAAAGGGGATAAAGAGAGCAGTGTCATGCTTACTGTTCTTCCAGAATCCTGTGAAGGACAGAGATATGCATGAGAAGTTAATTAGCAATTATTGGAATTCAGTCTGTGGCCAATACTGTGGCCCACTATTCCTGTGACATATTTAAAGGGTCATTGACAAGTGCAGTACACCTGGAGGTTACACTCTCTGAGAAATTAGGAAGCTGAGCATAAGAAGTGACCAAGTGAGGGCCTCTCAGTGGCACAAGGGGTTAAGCACCACACTATGAAGCTATCCATAGCCATTGCAGCAGCAGTTCGATTCCTGGCCCACCAGGGAGCTACCCACATGGTGCAGCAGACCTCTCCTTTCTTGCCCACTGCTCCCCTCAGCAGTGTATTTCAGTCAGACTGCCTGTTCTGTTCCCCACTCTGTCTCTGGTGAATCCTCTCAAGTCCACCCCACCCCAGCACCAATGGCCTGTACCCTAGTTCTTGTATGCAAAAATAAATAAATCTTTTTTTTGAAAAAAAGAAGTGACCAAGTGAAATGAAGATGCCTGGCTTGAAATATCTGAAAGACACCACAAGGAGGATGGATGAATCTGCTCTGAATTGCTCTTGAGTCCAGAACAAAGACCAGTTAGTGAACTTACAGGATGGTAGATCACAGCTCAATGATGCACTTTTTGTCAAAGCTTCCTCACACAGAGTGATGTGAGCCACCATTACCAATGAGTTGCAAGCAGTGAGGTGGTGACTGCTGTTCAGGGATGCTGTAAGTGGATTGTCAGCTCATCTTGAGTTTCTTCATCATCCCATGATGTGAGGAAGCTATAGTTGAAAATAGCATATGGCGTAGTAGTAAAATTGTGTGCTTTGGAATTAGACAAAGGGGTTAATTCCCAAATTCACCATGAAAAATGCTCTGAATCTAGGTAAATTACAGTTTTCTCATCTGTAAAATAAGGTATAATACTGCTTTTTAAAGCTCATTGTGAAAAGCAGATATGTTGAGCTGGTACACAACAAGCATGTAGTACATTTAAGGAGCTCACTAGATGGTCACTTTTAATGCTACCTTATGAGATTCCATGGGCTTGGACACAGCAGAAAGCATAGCCAAGACATTGCCATGCTGGTCTTCAGGGCAGCTGGGGAAAATCACAATTTCTAAAACTACAAAAAAGATTCCCTTGTGTCCTTCCTGTCTGCCTGCTAAGCCACATTTGGAAAGACCCACTAATGCCTTGCACAGAATTGCAGTGTACCTTGCAGGCCTGTCCACAAGCATCTCCTTTTCATTGATTTTTGGGTCAGAAGATGTAGGTGTTGAGCTTCTCTCACATAACATATATGACTATTTTGCAGTGGAATAGAAGGTGAGGAGAGATGATGCCATTACTGTTGAGGATTTGGCTTAGCTGCTTGGTGGAGGCTGACCCATCTAGTCAGAACAATGGCTTCAGATAGCCAAGGAAAGCCAGTGGCCATCTTTCTTCAGCCTGCACTACTGCCAGGTACATCTCACTAGATACGAGTTCAATTACAACTCTGGCCTGTTAAAAAGCAACCAGTGGTTTCTCGGGCTGTGCACTGACTCAAATATTTGCATACTGTAACTTTGTCTTAGCTTTCCAACTGTCTTTACAAATATTTCTCAACTCATTCTGTGTTGCAGGTAAACAGAATTACTCATTGTTCTTTTCACATACTATATACCCCTCAAATTCTATTATCTCCTCTCTTTTAATTTTTTTAAATAATAAATTTTATTGTTATATTCCCCATACAATTGCAGCCAATTTAAATGTACAAAAGTTATATGTACAGCTTAAAGATGAATGAAATTAACACCTGTGTTTTCATCGTGAAGGTAAAAAAATAGAAGCTCCCTGGGGGAGGGCCCTTTTCTCATTGAATCTACTGCTCTCTTAGATGAAACCATGAACCAACTCTACCACCCGCCCCCCATTCCCTTGGGTTTTTCTTTTTCCTTTAGGCAGTTATTTCGCCTCTATCAGTGTTCCTGTAAGCATGTGCGTGCACACACACACACACACACACACACTCCTCACTTACAGAGACACCACCTATATAAGGAAAGAGTAGTATTCCCAAGAGAATAGAGTTTCTTGGTCATGTCTGACATGAACTCCTCCTGCTGGGGAACAGTGGGCTGGGCATCTACTGGGGCTGTCGTGCAGTCAGAAATGTGGGCACAGTTGTGAGCTTAATTGTATCTCCCCAAATTCAGATGCTGAAGTCCTATCCCCCAGGACTCAGACTATATTTGTAGATAGGACCCTAAAAGGGTGATTCAATTAGAACAAAGCCTTTAGGGCAGACCCTAAACCAGGGTCTATTACCTGTCTGCCCATGACTAAGATCAGGTATTTAGTGGGTATTTTTATTATAAGAAGAAATTTGGACACACAGATAAACACCAGAGAAATGTGTTACAGAGACCATGTGAGGACACGGTCATAAGACTGCAAGTCAAGGACAGGGACCTGAGTAGAAGTCAGACTTGAAGACACCTTGATCTTGAACTTCTGTTGTTTAAACTTCCCAGGCTGTGCCATCTTGTTACAACAGTTCCTATAGACAGTAGAGGAGTATTTGTTATTTAAGTTTTTCTTCTTCCAGCTCTAAAGGCTAGGACTTCTGTGAGTAACAGGTTCCTTCTGATCCAGGCAGGACATGGAGAACAGAAACTCGACCTGCATGAAATAAACACAAGCCCAGTACAGAGACTCTGGCCTGGGTGTGCCCAGGCACTTAGTCCTCAGAGTAGAAAGACAGCCCAGTGGTATTGAGATCCTGGTAATGAATGTCTTTAATTGATGGTTTTTTCCTTGAATCAAACTGCTCTTATCTGAATGGGTTTCCTCTGTGTCTAGTGCTCAGCCGTTATCCAGGAATTCCCCTTCACCCTCCTCCTGAACTTCCTTGTTGGAAGCTTGTGGGATCTACCTTCTGAGCCCAGTGTTTTGGAACTTTCCAGTGATGCAAATCTGCACTCCCTCTACATACTAGGTGCTTGGCAAGCCTGTCAGCTGAACTAACAGTTACAGTTATGGACTTTAATTCTTGATTATTTTTTGATAGTTTCCTCTCATCTATTTTATTTCCTCTCTTTCTGAAACTCTCATTATTAGCATGTTCAATTCCCTGAATTGGCCTGTGATTGTCTTTTGGTTTGTTTCCCAGCTTTTTTTCTTGCTCAATTTTCTGAGAGATTTCTTCAACTTTATATTCCAGCCTTTACTTTGAGTTTTCAGATTTTCTCCTTATATATTTTAATTTCCAAGAGCTCTTTCAACATTTTTCTAATATTCCTTTTTTTTTTTTGCTTCATAGATATATTGTCCTATTTTTCTGAAGACAGAGATTTTTATTTTAGTTCCTCCAACATGCTGTGTGTGTGTTTGTGTATGTGTTGGTACCCACCTTTCAGATTAGAAGCTTCTTTTAGCTGTCTGGTCATTATTACATACCTGCCCAATACTAAGACCAGGGCACTAAGCAGGCAGTAGAAATTCTAGGCACATTGGAGTGACTTGTCTACTTTGAGCTTCCCTGCAGGGGAATTTTACCTGTGTTTTCAGAAAGACCTGAAGTCAGTATCTAAACACCTTTCTTCTTGAGCTGATCAGATTCCCTGGAGAAGATTTTCTGCTCCCCTTCAAGGAAGATGAGTGTTTGGCTGCCACGTTCTTCTCTGTGGGAGAAGAAGGCTGAGAGTCTCAGCATCAGCACACATATGGTTCTTTTGGCAGAGAGTACCGTGCCCTCAGCTGTGATGGCATCTCCTAATCCGGGGAGCCTCTGTTACGCCTCTAGGGAAAATTCCTTCAGGCTTCTCACTCTACTGGGGAGGTAAGCCTCACAGCATCTTGGTCTGTGGGAAAGAAATGAGGGATTATAGTGCAGCTCCAAAAATAAAACAAAAAATACTCATCAAACAGCTTTTCCTAATCTTTCTTACTTCTCTTCATTCCCCTGTTCCGCAGGGATCTGGTGCTGCCCTTTGCTGAATCTTTTGAGGATTCTGCAGCACAAATAGGGTCAGTTCTCAGCTTTCCTGATGCCAGTCTTAGGTCTGCTCAACCACTTACCCACTTACCAGCTTTCAAAGGTTAGTTGTTACTGTCTCATTTTGCTTGATGTTTTTGTGAAAAAAATCCCTTTACTATGGTCTCTGAGGTTTCTGGGGGGAGTGAAATCAGATGTGTGTTCAATCCACCATATTAACTCAGTAATTTCCCTGTTTCCTGGCTATTTTCTCTTCTCAGCTGGATTATTTTTCACTATTTTGGCTATTAAATCTCAGCTATTAGTAAGATTCAGCTCAAATATCACCTTCTCCATAAAGCTGTCCCAAGTGTGGAAACTCTTGTTATTTTTCTTTTCTCATAGCATTTATATCCTACACACACACAAAACAAACATACACACACATACATACTACAGGGTGACAGGTAAATAAATAATAAATGAGCCATTCTGATCACAGTAAGATACATGATAACATCACATCATTCATGTTTTCAGGCTTCATGTAGACTTTCCTCCTTGTGACTTCTGGGCTTCATGGGCAGAACTTGTGGAATTGGGCCTGGGTGCCAGTTTGGGCAGCTTCTTTGTGTGAGTCCTTGGGCTAGTTATTTCATCTCACTGTGTTTCATGAAGTTTCCTTATCCTAAAATGCAATCTATAAAATCAGGAGATGTAAACAGAACCTAGTATTATTCATAATGCAAAATAAAATGTCAGGACACACGAAAGGCATGTCATTCATATACATTTACTGCAGTTATTATTATCATTCCCTTTCTCTTTCAAAGTGGGTTATGTTTTGTTTTGGTTTTTTTTTTTTTTTCAGTCTGAAAGGAGTTTCTCAAATGTGTCAATCTAGTGCCAGCATGCACAAGGCGGGTGGATTCCGGCAGACGGGTCAAGGAGTCCCGGAGCCCTTGGTTGATTTTTACAGTTCTGTAATGCTCTCTCAGGGAATCAGGTACACATGCACACCGGGTAGGAAGGCAACTGAGGTCCCTGTCCCCACCATTTGAATCTGTGCTCTCTCTCTGGCCTCTCTCTTCTGACATTCTCAGTCTTGTGTCCTCTTGTGGTCTCGCCTCAGAGTGGTCCTCCTCACCTTAGTCCTGTCTCAGAGCGACACCGCCCTTTTATCCCTGGCCTCTCCTAGGCCCAGGTATGCGCATTTACACATGTGCACTCCCATGCTTTCTGGGCCCAAATGTCCACAGTCAAAGGCATGTGTGTGCCCGGCGCCCAACCTCCTCCACCTCAGGCAGCCATGTCAGTTGCTGCAGGGCATAAAAATCCTGATAACTTCACTCACCCTACAGAAAGGTACCAGGAAATGTAGCATGCTGTGAGATTCAGTGGATGTTTTTTATGATCTATGGGTGCTCCATAAAGAGCTATGAAGATTACCTTTCAGGTAGCATGTGTCTGAGGCATATCTGCTGTATTGAATAAAACCTTTCAATACTTACGGAGATGTTATCCATGAAGCCACAAATACACAGTCATGCATGTGTGTTTTGGTCACTAGAGAGGTTGGTGTGCACTAGCTATTCCAGAATATTGAAAAATAAATAAAAAACAAAAACAAAACAGTATCCTCATAGCTTAAGCTTCTTAACTTTTTCAAGTTCCTACAACCATATGCTTTTGGCACAAATGCTGTAGTCTCCAAAAGCCAGAGAAGGCAAAAAGTAGGGTTTGGTACAATCATATGCAAAGGTAGGATGATACATCCTCTTGTTGTATTAGGAGCTTTAAAAGCCTTGAAGCAGGGGCCTCCCTGGTGGCGCAGTGGGTTGAGCATGGTGCTATGAAGCTGTCCGTAGCCTCTGCAGCACGGGGTTCAATTCCTGGCTGGCCAGGGAGATACCCACATGGTGTAGCAGACCTCTCCTGTCTCGTTTGCTGCTCCCCTGAGCAGTGTATTTCAGTGGATCCTCGTATTCTGTTCTCCGCTTTGTCTCTGGTGAATTCTCTCACCCTCCCACACCTCTGGCCTGTACCCCAGTTCTTGTATAAATAAATAAATCATTTTTTAAAAAAGCCTTGAAGCATTAAAGACAGCTTGCAACTTTGGAAAAGTGCCCAGTTGAATCATGGTGATCTTAAACTCTGTTTTGCTCTCTCTGCTCTGTGTGTGTGTGTGTGTGTGTGTGTGTGTGTATGTATGTGATGTTTAGTATCTTTCTTGCCTTTTTTACTGGGGCTACTTATATGAACACATTAACTTTGCTGCTTAGAATCATGCCAACTCTTGTTACTTACCCTTTGCTTGTGTCTTCATTCAGAGTTTATGAAACTAACCACTTTCCATGGGGATAGTCATGATGTCACAAGCAAAGCACAAATACTTTAGCCGGGTCATCAACTGAAGGATCAGATGGACCTCTAAGCAACAAGACCCTATCATCCTGTAAGTGTTCTTAGTGATGAAAACTACAGAGGGAGAGGCATGATGTCAAGACTCTGGCACATCATCCTACACTGTGTTGCTCAACATGACTGTTCTCAACGCTTTCCATAAGGATTTGTGTTTTGTTAACACAGCTTCTAAGAGGTATGAGAGGAAACCACAATGAAATGATCCTTCATTTCTGAGCAGCAGAATCCAAACACTCTGATTTAAAGGGTCTGATTAGTGAGTTTGTAAAATAGCTAAACCTCTTGAATTGTTCAATTTTATCACTTGATTTTGTTTGTCTACCTTTTCTTCTTCCTGGAGTGCCTTAAATCAGTGCCTCTCAAACTTAAATGTACAGAGGAGTCACCTGGGGATGTTGTTAAAAAAAATACAATCCTAGGATGAGGCAGGCCTTTCTAACATTTTGAACAAGCTCCCAGGTGATGCCCATCCTCCTGTCCTCACAGCCACTGAGTGATGAGGTTTTTGAAGTCAGAATGCAAATTTTAAGTCAATATAAGGATCTTATAGCCAGAAAGCTTCCAGGAACACTTACCCTCTCGTTACCAACAATAATACCATATTCCCCATATTCTAAGCCACATTTTTCTTCAAATTTCAGCTTTTCTGAAATTGGCATGTGACAATCATATGAAAAAGTCTTAAGGCTACTAAACAGATGAGTAAGCTGCAACAGATGGGTTGTCTGAATATATGTATAAAGTGTGTGCTTGCTAGATTTTCTCTATTCATTTGTCACCCCAGTCACCTGCATTGGTAGTACCACATGGAGATCAAATCTTAACTTCCATTTGTTTGTTCACTTAATACTTTCACAAAACACTTGTTTCCTCATTGATTTCATTGAGAAAACTAAAAAATATTCATGCCTTTATCCAAGACCCAGAGATTCTGAGGCAGTTGATCTCCCCAGATGATTGTAACATGAAGCAAACTTTGAGAATCACTGTGCCAAAATAGCCCTGCAGTGATTTTGCAGTTACAGAACACAAGTATGTGTTATGACGTGCCAGAACATGGAAAGCAAGGGAAGTTACTGCATCTCTTAGAAGCAATCCTAGGCTTCTCAAAGCTCGGAGAGGCTGGTTGTGGGTTAAGGAAGACTCAACCAGGTAGTGAAGTTCCCTTAGTGAGCTTCTTGACTGTTCCAGGAATATTCCACAGCCAGTGATATGTCAAAAGTTGGGGTTCACCCAAGTCTAACAATGCAGATGGAATTCTGTTTTCATTTGTTATGCCTCAACATCTTGCCAACCCTGAGAAGCAGAGGTCAAAGTCATGAGCATAGGTTAGGAAAACCCAAGTCTTTGTGGTACTAAGCATGGCTCTATAAGCTTTCATCCCTAATGTGAAGAACACTTGGATGTAAATTTAATGATGATAAGAAAGGGCCCTTGCTGCAAGAGGGAAGACAAGGTTTCAGCAACTGTTAATGGACTAGCTGAATACCTCAGAGCCCACCTTTCTGTCCCTGTGACTCTGTCTAGCCTGGATTTTCTAGAGAAAAACCAAGAAAGGCCATCCTAGACTAGGGCTTCCATGGAGTAATTGTGAAAACTGGAGGCATTGAGGTCACAATCACAACCCATTTAGTTGCGTGGGTCAGGTTTTTAGTTCAACAAAATAGGGACAGCAGATACTGAAATGTCTCCTGACCACTGATTCAGTGGTCAATCCAAGCCTATGATTTAGGAGCCTTTCCAGTCATTGGATTATTTCATCAACTAGGAGGAAACAAACTGAGAATATCTCATTCTCCACACATACACCCCTTGGAAGAGGGTAAGCTCTAGAGGTAGTAGAGTTGGAATGAACTTGTATGCTAGGTCCTGGGAAAAATGCAAGCAGCTTAAGGAGAGGGCAGACCAAGGAAAGGGAAAATAATTGGTTTTGCGGGTCAGATTTAGTTGAGACCATTGGTCAGCAGTTCACCCTGAATGTGACCTATGGCTGAGCTGGGTCTCAAAGGGGAACTGGTGCCTAGAAAGACAGAGCAGTGACCTCCTCACTTGAATAACTAGGAAGCATCTCAAATTAAATGTGACCAAGGAAGAATTCTTGTTCTCAGTTCATCCCACCTGTCGACCTTTCCATCCTTGCTTTTTGGATGACCATGCTCCCAGTTGTTAAGGCCTAAAATCAGTTAATTCTTTTTTGCTCTCACACCTTCCATCAGAAAGTCCCATCAGCTCTACCTCTACCTCACATCTCTTAAATTAGAAGGTTTCTCATCATCTCCACTACCACAATCCTAGTCCAGTGCACCCTCTGTCTAAATGATTGCAGCAACTTCTTTCTTGGTCTCCTGCATCCACCTTTGCCCCTTCTCTGCTTCCTTTTCCTCTCACAGAGCAGCCAAAGGGATCTTCTGCAACAGAAATCAGATCACATCACTCCTTTGTAAAAATTTTTACTTAATTTTTAACTGAAGTAACATTGGGTATAAAATACATGCTTCAGGTGTACATCAATGGAAATCAACATCTTGTATATGCTACATCTCTCCTTAAAACCCTTCAGTACCTTCCCAGGACCTCAGGCTTTGTCCAATCCAGACTTCTTGCCATGAGTCATAAGACCTTGCATTACCTGGTTTTAGCTTGTCTCTCAATTTTTGTTTTTATATTTGGAGAGTATTTATCTGGAAATATTGTTTATGATTTTCTTGTAGTGTCTTTGTCATGTTTTAGGTGAGTGTTTGAAAACGGCAATGGCATAGACTTTGTCCTTTGCTTAAAAAAATAAACTCTGGTTTACCTTTCAAAAGACTGATGATTTTATTATGTTTCTTGTCATTAAAAATATATTTAGGTTAATTTCTATAACCTTACACTTTGCTTGTTATCTGTCCGATTTTTTTCCATGTGTATTTTTCTTAGATTGAGTTTTTTGGTTTGTTTCATCCCTTCCCCTCTCCCCAGCACACCCCTTTTCTTGTTTGGAAGTTATCTATTTTGTGTCTTGTCACATTAATATGTTTTAAAAGCAAGGTTTCTCAAAGTAAAATTCAACATCTGGTATACAGTTCTATTCCTTTTGATTAATGTAAGAGTCATGTAATCACCCCACATAAAAATGTAAACTATTTCCATCACACCCCAGAAGTTGCCTCCTCCTCATCTGTAGTTAATCTTTTATAGTTACTCTCTTATTCATGTCCCCTCTCTACTTTCAACTGATCTGTTCCCTATATCTGTAATTCTGTCCATTCCAAATGCCAGTTAAATAGAATTATAGAGAATGTTTAACTCCTGAGTCAGTTTCTTTGATTTGTGTAATCCATTTGTGATCATGCACATTGTTGTGTGTGTGTGTCTATAATATTAATTTATTTCTTTTAGTTGCTAAGTAGTATTCCATTATCTAGATATTCTTGCTGTTTATCCATTCCCAAGCTGATGGATGTTCAGGTTATTTCCATTTTGGGTGATTATGAATAAAACTGATACAAACATTTACATACATATATATCTATATGCATATGTATAGATACAGATAGATAGATATCACTGTCCTTATTTTTCTTGGGCAAAAACCTAGGAATAAGGTTGCTGGGTTGTATAATAAGTGCATGTTAAGATTAAACGAACCTCCCAAACTGGAAAAATGACTGTACTATTTTGCATTTCATTCCCCAAGTCACAGAGAAATTTGTATGCTCTGCATCTTTGTCTGCACTTAGTATTTTCAGAGCTTTATATTTAATCATTCTAATAGGTGAGTAGTATATTCCATTATAGTTTTGATTTGTATATATCCCTGAAGACTACTGATAGTGAGAATCTTTTCATGGACTTAATTGCCATCCTGTATCTTTCCTGGGATATCTCACAAATTTTGTTGTTTCCATTTAATTCAGTTTCAAATATTTTCTAATTCCCCTTGTCACTTCCACTTGGAAGTATGAGTTATTTTTAAGTGTATTATCTAATGTTCATATATTTGGAAATTTTCCAAATATTTTTTATTGGTTTTTATTTAATCTCATTGTGGTCAGAAAACACACATTATATAATTTCAGTTTTACAATTAAATTTGCTGAGGTTTGTTTTAATATCTGGACTATGTCCATCTTTGTGATTGTTCCATGTGATTGTTCCAAATGTTCACTCAAACATTTATTTTTCTTCTTATACTTGATGATTTATTTCTGCTATCAAACAGAAAATTCTCTCTTCAAATATTTATTCTTTCACATTCACTAGGATAGCTATGATCAATAAGGCTAGTAATAATAATTATTGACAAGGCTATGGAGAAATTGAAACACTTACATGATTTTGGTGGGAGTGTAAAATGGTGCAGCCACATTGGAAAACAGGTGATTCCTTAAGTGATTGAACATAGAGTTACCACTTGATTCAACAATTTTATTCCTAGGTATATGCCCAAGAGAAGTAGAAATATGTGTACACACAATCTCATATATGGATGTTTATAGCGACATTATTCATAATAGCCAACAAATGGAAACAATTGAAATGGGCATCAACCAATGATTAAAACAGAACATAGGATATCCAAACAATAGAATATTACTTGGCCGTAAAAAGTAGTGAAATGCTGATATGTGATACAATATGGATGGGCTTTGAAAACCTGTTAATCCAAAGTGATAGAAAGTAGATCTTTGGTCACTTATAATGAGTGTGGGGTGGAGCTAGGGAATAGGGGGATGATAGTTAAAGGTTACGGGGTATCTTTTTCAAGTGATGAAATATTCAAAAATTGTCTGTGATGGTTGCATATGCGATCTATGAATAAATTAAAAATGTTGAATATTCACTTTAGCCTAATGAATTCTTGTGTGTGCCTTATATTTCAATAAACATATTGCAGAAAATAGTTTTCCTTCTCTCTCTGGTCTTTTCTTCTACTGCAACTAGACAGATAGGAATTGACTATACCATCTTA